GCTGAGGGTGCACTCAATGCCACTGTCCATAAGTGCACTGCCTGAGTTTTACAAGGGCAGGTAGTGGTAGAACAAGGGAAAATGGCTTTAAACTGGGAAAGGGTAGGTTTAGATTAGGAGTTAGGAATAAATTCTTTCCTGTGAGGGTGGTCAGACACTGGAACAGGTTGCCCAGAGAAGCTGTGGATGCCCCCTCCCTGGAAGTGTTCATGGCCAGGTTGGATGAGGCTTTGAGCAACCTGGTCTGGTGGAAGGTGTCCCTGCTGATGGCAGGGGGGTTGGAACTAGATGATCTTTAAGGTCCCTTCCAATCCAAACCATTCTATGATTCTGTGATTCCATGTCTCTGACAAAGATGTTGAACAGTACCGGCCCCAGTACTGACCCTTGAGGGACACCACTTGTGTCCAATTAGAATCAGAAATGTTTCAAATTATAATTCAGTTGCATGCATTGTGACTGGAGTATGGAAGAGAGTACAAGAAATCTTCCGTATTTGTAAGTGGCCTGTGCTAGCTGTATGAGTTTCTAGCACTACTTTGTGTTAAGGATGTGCACATCTTGCCCATGAATTTTTAGTTTACCCTAGAAACATCTCTTTTTCTACCAGAAGCTCATTTTAAAGACTATCCAAGTCAGCTTTCATGTTTTAAATATGTTATTTTCCCTAGGTTACTATGAAAACTATTATTTGGAGCTGATTCACAAATATGGAGAAAAATCCAAATGTGATGCCTTCATATGGGGAAAAGAGCTCAGGGAGAAGTACCACACTTTGTTCAAACTGCTACAAGAGATTGATTTCAGTGCTCCAGGTGGTAATTATATTTTATTGTTCTTAAATAACTCCACAATATATGGCATGTAAGTTAATATGCTTTGACTTCAGTTCATGCTTTATAAGATGTTTTTTTTCATAGCTGCTAACTTAGTAAAGGGATGTCATGTGGCTTGTACGTTGGACTGCAAGTGAAGGATGGCTTATTATGTAGAAGGAAATATAGATGTCTTTATGTTTTTAGTGGTTAGTTACTGTGAGACAGTCTTTTGGATTTTTATTCATCCTTCCTATTCAATAGTACCTTGTATTTCTAAGAATTTTGGTTGTCTACATAGACAACACTGTTCAGCATATCTGTCTCAGTCCCATTAAATTAAGGAGGGTAAATCAGTTCCTGATTTTAGCTCTTGCATTAACTGTGTGTCCTATGTTTTATTTTTCATGTTAGGAGATGGAAGTCATACAGTTCTAGAAGTTGGCCGGAGGATATTTGAGAAGGTTGCAAAGGATCTGTCCAGCACCAATGGCCTCAGCAATATGGGCTCCTCTGTCCCTCTCTTGGTGGTTTCCAGTTCTTGTGGATACCATAAGGCTTCCTATTTCCTTGCAGTTATATTTGAAACAGGGCTTGGTGTGTCTGTCGATCGTAAAAAGGTAGTATATTTAATATATTTGGTTATGTCTGTGAAATTAATTATCTTTAAAGGCAATTTAGAAATAGGATGAATTTATGACCAGTTGAATTAAAAATGTGAATTGGCCTGCAGATCCAGGTTGTAGTGGAAGGGATTCACCAATACAGCTACCCCTAAATAGCCTGATGGCAGTGAAGTTTTTATGAAGTCCTGATTGTGGGAGTCTTTATCCTGCTGATCCAGAACAAGGAAATTGGTGATTTAGTAAGACCTAAAAATGGTGGCAAATTGATCAGCGTGAGATATACTGCTTTTCCCAGTCACTGAGGAGGTAGGATGTGGTAGTAACCCTTGAGTCACCCACAGTCATTCATAGATGTGTATGAAAAAGTCTCATGTCAGGCAAATATCCTAAAATGTAAAGGTTGCATAGTACAGTCAGGAAAGAAGTCCCATTTTACAGTGTGTAAAAATGTGGCATTTAGTATTATGGTCAAATGATTTAAGGTAACCAAAGCAGAACATTTTTATTTTGGAAAAAAACTGACCATGCTTCAGCTGAGCAGTTGCAGAGCGTGCAAACTCCTGACCTTTTAGGCAGGTTGCAAATAACTGAAATGTTTCCATGTGATTTCATTGCAAAGTGAAATAAAGGGGAGACGTTTATATATCACTGGAAGAGGGCTATACTGAAATTGCCAATATGTATTTAATTGTGATATAATAGTGTAATATAAAATGCACATAAGGAATAGCAGATCTGCCTAATGTGGTTGCAGGATACTAAATCAGAACTCCTGAGAGGCCAATCTGAGACCAAGCTTACTCCAGTTTCTCAAACACTAGAAACTTTAGACAGGAGCCTTTTTTATACCCTAATTATGGCATATACCTAATGTTAGTTATGAAGGCTAAGTAATTTCATTATTGAATCAGCTTCAGATAGTGTAGGAAATAATTTAATATCCAGAGTAGATGGGACACCACTGTTCTAATTACTGTGCAGGTGAAAAATAATAGTAGTGCTGAAAATGGCTTTGGCTAATGTGCGGTAGGTACCTAGACTATTTCTAGCAGTCACTAACACGTATCTCAAGGGAGCTTTGTACTGAAACCTTGTCAGCCACAAGTCCCATCCTTCTAGTCCTGTCAGATCCTTAGGGTAAGATTTTCAGGTGCTGTTTGTTAACTTGCATATGTTTCCACTGAATTCAGTGCAAAAACTCCAGCTGACATCAGCGAGACTAGTTAAGTCACTGCTGAGTATAAAAAGTGTCAGAGTATAATTAACACTATAATAAAGCATCATTAAAAAATTGCTGCACACTTAGTGGTAGGAGAATAAGTGCAATACTTGAAAAGTATTTAGAGTCTAGTTTTTCTTTCAAACCTTTCTATACATGTAGAAGACATTTTAATTACTTTAGGACTGTGCTTCATTCTGTAACTGTGTTTAGGTAGTATAGCTAGTATATCAGCTACCAGTATGAACACTCTGCTCCCTGTAAATCTCCGACAAAGTGCTAAACTTGTGAGATAGGCAGTGAATTAACTCTTGTTTATACCTGTGGATTTTTTGCCAGGGACTGCTGTATAGTTTGGTTGGTGCTCAGGGGAATGAGAGACTTGCTGTGATGAATCTTGGCTATAAACATTACCAAGGCATTAATAATTATCCACTTGATTTGGAGCTGTCGTATGCTTATTACAGTAATATTGCAATAAAAACATCATTGGATCAACACACTATAAAAGGAGAGCAGGTAAAATAGTTATAAGTGTATCTGAATTTGTTTTCTGTGTATATGACTTCTCATATATTAATATTAATTATGTGGCCAGAACATTTTTGTCTTGATTTACAAATATTAGCTCATCTGGTTTTTGTCCCTGCCCATGACTAAATGATCTTTAAAGGTCCCTTCCCCCAGACCATTCTATGATTCTATGGTTGTTACAAAATCCCCCAAATTATATGTAGGTATTATTAGTTTGTTTCTTAGCAAGGGGGAAACCAAATCAAAGCTAGGTTCAAATCCTCAGAATTGTCCACGTGCCTGTCTAAGACTTATTCTTGGGCCCTAATTCCTCATTCAGATTTTTGATTATTAATATAATTGAATGTGTTAAGCAACTCATCCTCTTAATCGGTAATCTGCTTATCAGTAGCCAAACATCACAAAGTTCATGCAAAAGATGAACTGTCCCCTCCACACTTACATCTTTTCTATAATCAAATGTAAAGATTTGAATGTTAAATAGTTATCTGATGAGATAAAGTTACAGTAAAATTATTTTAGAATGAGCTGCTAAACAGAAGGTAACACAACTTTATCTGTAAAGAATACGTAGGGTAGGCCAGTACTAGGATCGTGGCTTATCAGAAAGAATTATTATGGTACAAAAAATACAGAGATTTTGATTGCTGAAGAACTGAAAATCAGCAGAAAGCCACCTAGGTAAGACTGCTGTAGGGTAGGTCTTCATCAAGCTTTCTGCCAGCCTTTTTATCTTTTATGAAAGATTTCTGTAGAAATTAAAAAGGCTTAAAAGCTGTTCTTTGCCATTATTAAATGCATTTAAAACTACAAAAGCCGGGGGGGGGGGGGCCAATTGTTGATGTGTTGGCATATCTTTCCACTCTAGAGTGGACTTACAGTTTTGTACTGTAACAAAGCAGTACATGGTTTTTACACTGGATGTGCGGACAGCTCTTAATGCACTGGCCAGCAGAGGGGTAGTGAGAATTTTAAAACCCAGAACTGATCATAAATTTTTAGGGATAAACAGGAAATGGGCAACTTTTTCATTTTGGTGGCAGATGTATGAATTCATTGTGTAATCTTTTCTGTTTATCTACTCTTCAGGCATTTGTTGAAACTATAAGGCTGATGGATGATGAACTGCTGAAAGCTCAAACAAAAGAAAATGGTGATGTCTTTATGTGGTTAAAACATGAAGCAACAAGAGGAAATGCAGCTGCACAGGTATAAAGTAGTACATTTCCCCTTTCTTGGTTTTATATACACATCATGTATGTACATCTATAGACTATGTAGGAAAGTTGTGGAGGAGAGTGAAGTGGACAGGTGTTTTCTCTTCCCACCCAGAATTGCTTCTTTTTTATAAGCTTGAACTATTTCCCATGTTTCTGTCTGATAATATCCAGTCACCATACAAAAAGCTATAACAATGATGAAAGGCAAAAGGGAAGAGTTGTCAAGACTTAGCAACCTCCTCTAATAATTTTCCCTGGGTTTGTATTTGGCACGGTGCAGTTATTGCTGCTGATCTGAGACCAGCAGCAGTATGTTGTGTTACTGAGCAATTTGCATGCATCGAGTCTGCCTTTATCACTTACCTCTGCACTTAAATCAAGCTAGACTTTTGTAGTACTGACAGCAAAGTAACCCTGCTGCAGATTTAATATCAGTACATTTCACCACTGGGAAGCCCTCTGAATATTCCTGATAACCAGTTGTTTCCAAACTGTGGAGGATGCATGACTAGTTTCTTCACATATTTAAAATCCATTTAAGCCTGCAGAAGTCTGCTCCTGCAATTCCAGTTTCAATACTAGCATTTATAACATTAGTGCTCACTTTGTTTTCTTTCAGCAACGATTGGCTCAGATGCTGTTTTGGGGCCAACAAGGAGTGGCAAAAAATCCTGAAGCTGCAATAGAATGGTATGCAAAGGGTGCAATAGAAACAGAAGATCCAGTGTTAATATATGATTATGCCATTGTGTTATTTAAGGTAAGTCACGTTTCATATTTTCACTCAAAAAAATCATTCCTATGGCATGGATGTTTGTAAGTTATCTGCAGTGACACAGTGTGAGAGTGTGTACAAGTGCTTTAGATATACTCTGAAAATTAACGTTGATTTTTACCAGATATGCAGAAAATTTTTTAAAAGAGCAAGGTAAAAGCAGTTTAGTCACTTTGTTCCTAGACAGACTGAGGATAAAAATACCACCTGGATTGAACATCGTGGCTTGTCACCTCAGAAATCTAACCAGCTAGCAGGCATAGGCCTTGGTGTGGAGGTGTAGGTGAAAGCTCAGTCCTTTCTTAGACTGCCCTTTATTAGATCTCTGAGAATACTTTTTTTTAGTAGGAATTAAATAAACTGTATGCAGTTAGTTTTTCCCTGCTAGAAGCAGTAGATAGTAGAGGCTAAACTCAGGCATAACACCGCCTGAGTCAAGTAAGTTGTATCAGATAAGCTGTGTCGCTCATAAGACCTTCAACAGTACTGAAGGTTAGAGATACTAGTGAAGAACCGTTAGGTCTTCATCTCATTCCTTTGATAGTGGAGGCCTGTTCTCTACAAAATGCTGGCTTAAGCTTTGCTTGTGTTAATTTTGAGCACTCACAGTCTGTTTTACCCATGTCTGGAATTAATTTCTATGGTCATCATCAGCATGACATCTGTGTATTTCCTCTGGAGACACTCTTGACATCCTTTTTCAGGAAAGCTGAGAGCTCTTACTCATTGCCAAATCGTGAACAATCTGTGCACCTTTGAGTGCTATTCATTCTTCCTTAGTTGCCCAAAATTAAGGATCTGTGATATTATTTACCCATAAAAATCACTTGGATCGACCAGTGAAATAATTTTTCCTAGACTGAATCACTGCGACTTTGTAAAGCTGTGAATGAAGGATGAGCACAAAGCTGCTTTTTTTGTTGTAGCTGTTTAAAGCCAAATAACACCTAGTAAATAATAGTATCAGTATCAAAATGCATTTTGAAAGTGTATACATGAATTTTGATCAGCCTGTATTCTGTATTTGTAAAGAACAGTTGTTTCACTTATCCATTTCCTAGGGCCAAGGTGTGAAAAAGAATACAAAACTTGCTTTGGAATTGATGAAGAAAGCAGCAGCCAAGGTAAAATGTAATAAATATTTTATTGTAGATGTCCTATACCAGATGCTAATAATAATGAACTCTGATTTATATAAAATGCATATTACCATAATTCTGTGTAAATACTGGTTGCTTCTCCCATTGTCTTCACCATGAATGTTGAAAGCCTTATTTCCCCAAATTGGAAGACAGGGCCACTCAAAATCAGCCAAAATGTCTATGGAAGAAAAAGAATTCTCTTTACTTACATCTTTTGGAACTTGCTGGTAGTCAAGTGTCTTACAGAGTGAATAGTTGATCCAGAAGGATGTTTTTGCCTCATGTTCCTAAGTATTTTCTTCTACAGCATACTAGGTATGTTTTTTCATAGGAGTGCCTACCAGGCTTGACGTGGTGATCTCTCCAGAGTCAGGTAGAGATGACTGCCATCTTTGAAAATCCATAGCAGCAGGCTTTGCTGTAATAACAGAATGTCTTTAAGTTGTGACATGAGCGAAAAAGAGTAGAGACCAAAGTCTGGATTGTACTTTTCGCAGTCTGCACTGCGTGATGGTGCATT